CCACAACAACAACAAACTAAGAGTAATCATAACAATATGAATAAACAGAAAAATAAGAAGAACTAATATTGGACCACATACATAAAACTTGGCCAAGTTCGGGGCAAGCTTCCTGCTTTTCCTATCTCATGTACTTACCTTCTACCAACAGCGCGTGATGCCTTGTGCCTCTGGTGCCGCCCTCGGCCGTAAACTGACGTAACTGACGTACCCTGTACGGCATCATGTACCGCAAATCCCAATGCCCAATACTTCTACGAAGGAAGGTAGTAAGTAACCCTGCACCCATGCTCTAACCTGGACCCTCAACCATGAACCCCAAACCCGAAAAACCTCCAAACCCAAACCTTGTGCACCCAATGAGGCCATGCGGGTCTCCTTTGACTCTCGGCATTCAGCGTGCGAAGTGTGGAGTAGCCGCAGCAGGTGTCAGCAAGGTCACACAATAGTTTCCCAAGGTACCCGTTTAAAATGTGGGCGCTTCAAACGAGTTCGTAAAAGTCTTCCTGAGTCTTCCTGAGGGTTCCCTGATGGAAAAGGACCCTAGCGAACCAAAAAACTCGAGCCGAAACTTTCAGGCTTTTGGATTTGCCTGACAGCTGCGGCTGCCTTATGATTATTATAGTATGTCGGGGTTGCTGAGCGGCCCGTGTACGAGGGATTCTACAGTGTGGGCTCGGATTAGGGCGTGCCGTGTGTGAGGATTAGGGTAGTAGCTTTGCAGGTGCGGGCAGGCAAATTTCATCGGTTGTGAACCATAACTCAGAAGCAAGCTGGTCTTGCGAAGATCACACCGGGCCTGACAGGAAAGCGACTTGGGCGTTGTAATCTGAATTTCCAGGGCTATAATTCAGGGGTTAAGCTCCGTAGGCTTGCGAGGTCGAGTGGCGGTGGGATCTACTGGCTCAAGTGTAGGTGGCTTTAGCGGTATCTAGCTGTGTGCGGTGAATGAACTCGGCCTTTTGTTTGAGGTGTGGATGGCTGTCGATCAGGCTGAGGGCCTACATTTGCCAGAGGTTTGGGGCTGACAGGTAGTACGGGGTTGTTACGTTCACGCTTGACCCTTGCACTTGGCACTCGGACGTACATCAGAGTGATTCGTCCCGACACCGGTCCGACGTAAAAGCAGGAATAGGTATCATTGCTGTACCATTATCAGGATCATATGTGCTCACCCCGTATGCGGAGAGCCTGCGATGCCTCAAAGCCAGCCTTACGACCTATGGCCCATGCGCCTGTTTTGGAAAATAGCCTGAGGACGTCTTCCCCCAGGGTCCATCAAGTGGAGTCTCCGCGCATGCCACGGCAGGCCGCTCCTGTTGGGTGTCGTCTTTTCGGCTTGACGATGTTGAAGATACATAAAGTCTGATGGTTCCAGTAAGTACTAGATTTGCGGCCATTCTTTAGATCTCTTGGCGGAATGCTTAGGACTGGAGTTGCAAGCTTCGTGCCCTTCAAGCCTGTATGAGCCCACACCCCCTACCCCAAGCCCAAAGCCACCTCCGCGCCCCAAACTGTTTCTAGAAGGTCTCTAGAACCCCGACAGAGCCCCTTTAAAACCCTCAAGATTCAAAAACATTGTAAAACCTGCAAAACCCTCCCGTAAATGCAAGAAAAGGTTCGCACCAGCAGAATCTTGGAGCAACAGTGCTGCACGGTTGATCTTGCTTAACATATCCTAAGCATACTTGATGCCCTAAAAATAAGACGATAGCTGTTGTACAGGATCCGTATTATTCTCCATGGGCCAGGATGGTGTCATCCTTGGACTCCCCTGCCAGTCAGGACCGACCAGGGTCAGCGCGTCAGTTGCACTTTTCGTGGAGAATGGTAACTTATCTAGCACAAACAGGGATACCGAAGCTCCTGTCCAGAACATGTTTACCTGCGCTTATTATTATTATTATTATTATTA